CTTACTCTATAACGGTTTTCTTAATTAAATTTCCTATAGTGTATAACGGCCAGCCTCTGAAAATTCTCTCATATGTTGTCTACAGTGAACCCTTGTTTCAACGAAGTATAATTAAATTTTTGATACAACGAATTTTTAAAACGTTGTTACACATTATGAAAACATATAAAAATTCGTTGAAACGCGATTAGTAACCTTGTTTCAACGAATGATGAATAAAATTTTCTTATATGTCCAGCCACTTCGTTGAAACAAGGGCAGACTGTATAACGGCCGACAATCATGATCTGAGGTAATCATTATCAAATTAAGAAATTCAGTGTGTCACACTCAATTATTAATAATTTGAACGCGCTTATTGTCAAGTCACAATGCTCCCACTCATTCTATTTCTGAATCAACAAATTTAAACTAATGTAAGAGTTTACTTCTTACCGCCAAACACAACAACATTTTTACAACAATGTGATGCCGGGATAATTAACAGCTTCAAGGTGAACTACAAAAAACTTTTCTTGCAAAAAAAAATTAGTGATTATGAAGAAGAAAGAAATGGTCAAGAAGATGAATAAATTTCAATTAAACATGCAATTAAATTTACAGCAAAAGCTTGGAAAAAAGTTACCAGTCAAACTATAGTTAACTGCTGGAAAAAAACTGGAATTTTACCTGATTATGATATTAATTCCAACGAAATTGAAAATATGCCATCAATTTTAAATTGAAAGAATGTAAGAGAGCTCAATGATTTGCAAAATTTGATTGATGAACTTGCACTCCCTAATCCTATATCCACGTCTGAATACATTGAAATTGATGGCTCTCGTGTAAGTGATGAAATAAATCTAAATGACATAGTTACAATAATTAATCCACCAGAGGAAAACGAAAGCCAGGAAGAAATAATCGAAGAACTTCCACCTGTTACAAATAAAGAAGCCTTGTCAGCAATAAAAACAACATTAGAAATTTACATTGACCAACAATCAGAATTAAATGAGGACGATTTTGAATTATTGGAAAGTCTTAAAAGAAAAATTAAAAAAATTGATTTTAACTCACAACAACAATCCACACACTATATAGCTTGAATAAGTATGCAAATTATAAATAGTTTATTAAATATATAAAATCTATATATTGTATCACATTATAATAATTTATCACATGACTATGATCTGCAAACTCTCTATAACTGTCACTCTCCCTATAACGACCTTTTTTGCCAAATCAGGCGGGCCGTGATAGAGAGAGTGAACTGTATGCCTACCTCTTTAAAGATTATTTTAATCTATTAGTCCAAAAAGAAAAGTATACTTGGGATTTGTATTTTTTGCAACACGTATAAAAAAAATTTGTGTTAGTATTGGTCGGAGTTAATGATCAATCTACAAGCAGCTAATTTTATTTTAGAAAAAACGCAATTGATGTGTGATATGTTTCTATTCATAATACAATTTTTTGGAGTTGTTATAAATGTATTCAATTATTTGTTTATTCAAATTATTCGAACAGAGTTTTCAAAGTGTTGTAACCACTCGCTTTCAATATTTATATTGCTAAATAATACAGAATTTCTTTCGCCATCAAAATCACTAGATCCACAATCCACATTATCATCATTATCGTTAGATTTTTTCTTTATTTTAAACATCCCAATTGTTAATAGTATCAAAGCAACAACAAAAACAATGGCTATACTTCCTAGAACAATTATAAGTCCTTTATAACTATTACTTTTTGGTGGTGAGTAATTACCTATAGGAGTTATATCTGTGCTGGGGTCAGTTGTATCTTTTTGAAAATCAAATGTGTCTGACCATCTGTAATCATTTTTGTCGCCAATATTTAATAGTAAAATATTTGAATAGGGTTCAAGAAGTAATTTATCAGTATAAACCCAACCTATTATTATTAATTAATCAATATAAATATAATTAATAAAAACAAGTAATATGTATGTATATATATATGTATATATATATATATATATATATATATACGAATTTCAAGTTACCAAATGCAATTATCATAAAATTTCTATACAGATTTGAAGAATGCCCTACATGATATTCATCAATTGGATAAGTAATATTTGTTGGAATTGTCCATTTAAAGGGAGACTGTGCTGTATCTAATATTGCTAATTTATCTGATCCGTTAGTACCTCCATATACAACTATTCTTCTATCAAGCACTATACAATAAATAACAAATCAATAAAATTTTGAAAAAAAAAGAAATATTTAATTAAATGGTTATAAACTATGATAATTGTTTTTACATGATACTGAAGAATGTCCATATCGTCCAGAAGGTTTATCACCAATCGTTGTCTATCATAATAGAAAATCTATAAACAAATTTTTGACAATACAGTTATCAATGACCCACATTATATATACTTACAACATTAGACCATAAATTTTGTTTGATGTTAAATAAGTATACCTAAAAATATATAAAAATCTATTAATATAAACCCTTTCTTAATTCCAACCAATTAAAAACCCATATTATTATTACCGTAGTCATGTCTAATCCAAAAAATATCATTGTTTCGTCATCTAATAAATGACAATTAAAATGATATGGATCTATATTTGGAACTTTATCACTTTTTAAGGTCGTAAATGTCAAATGGTTTGTGTTAAATTTATATATAGGATTATGTTGGTGACTTGCTATATATATGTTCCCATAATTATCTTGTGTGTAAATTGTGTCATGAATATCAATTAATTCTGATTGTCCATCGAGGACTTCTGGTGTCCATTTATCAAATAAGGCTGTATTTGTTGAATAAACTATTGATCCATAATCTGTAGTATTAGGATTATCAGCTCTTAAACCAGCTATAACATATAGTGTGCCATTATTAGTTCCTGCTAATGCCAGCGATGCTTTATGAAATGGAGGTATTACTGAATTTGGATCAATTTGTTTTATTGGTAATCGTTGTTGATCGAGGACTGAAAATGATGTGGATAAATCAACGTAAATTATTTGGTGTGTTATTTTTCTAGTTGTATGAGATTTTCCTCCAAAAAAATAAAGTTTATCGTTTAATATGATGGAATTTTGATGTGCTATATCTAAGAATTGACCAGAGACCAAATAGTTGAAATTGTCCAAAAATATTAATATTAATGATATTAATAAATAAAAAATGTGATTAGACATTGTTTTATCGAATTAAAAAAAAAAATCCCTACGATAATAGTTTTTATTTATATTTAAATTTAAACTTCGTAGATTATGGATACAGCCATACTTCCTTTCATATAACCTTTCATTTAAGAAGAAGACACGTGTTGGAATAATTATCATTTATTAATAAATTAATAATGAATATAATTGAAATAAATTAAATAAAAAATATATATATGTGAATTTTGTTATGGTGACAATAGTAAATTCTAGTTGCATTGAACTTTTTTGCCTCCTATTTTTTTACACCACCTTTATAATTACAGTAAGAAAGAAAAAATTTACATATCGATATGGAACTGAAGGGCTCACTCTGGCAGGCTTTTATTGTAAATGTTCATTCATTCATATTTGTGGATCTACAGTATGACTTTTAGTATGACATCCATTTTTTGGCTTTTCAATAGAAACAAGGGAGAACTTGAAATTGAAAAGGATTTGCACTTTAAGGGATTTGCTATTGTTTTGAAACTTCGAGAGAAAGCATCTTAAAAGTTATATGTAAGGGTGACATTAACTCAAAATCATGATTTTCGGCGTTTCCTCATTATATCCCCTATAGTAATAGTTTGGAGAATGATTTATAAAATCAATTAAAGGAGTAAATGGATATCATAGGAACGTAATAAATAATAATAATAAATTTATACTTCATTAATAAGCTTTTTATTAATATCACTAAATATTATTATTTATAATTTTACTTTAAATTGTATTGTATAAACAAAAGTTATATAATAGTATAGAGTTCAAAGCATGTTATTAAGTCGACTTTAATTCCTACCATGTTGAACGCTTATAATTGACGGATGTGTGGGAACGGTCGAAATTTCTTTGGTCCAACGGCGCCCAACCTATTAAATCCTTTTTCCTTCGATATGAGAGAGTAAAAAAGTCCATCGCTATCTATCTTCAAATGCAGTGGTATAAAAAGTATAGGCACAACTTTTCATGCAAGGTGCTCGATTGGTATTAATTAGCAATCTGACCATTAAAATATATTAGTAACATA